TCAGCCGCCGCCGCGTCGCCCGTCAGGCTCAGGCTCTCCCCGCTCAGCTCGGCCACCACTCGGACCCAGCGTTCCCTCAGCAGCAGCTCGACCAGCCCCGCTTTGGTGGCCCGCGTCCACACCGCCATGGCCGGCCCCGCTCCCGCAGTCGCCGCAGCTACCCTCATTCCAGTCAGGCAGCCTCGGCGCTTCCCCCTTCCCGCCCGAGGGGGCGGGCCGAGCCCCTCCCCCCTCGGAGATTCATTATTCATGAAGGCCACGCCCACCCCCGTGGGGCGGGGAGGGGCTGGCGGAGCCGCTTCCGGGAGGTTGAGGAGGCGCCCGCAGTCCAGTTACTGCTGCTCTCCGGACGTGGGCAGCTTCAGCACCGTGAGTCTCCAACTCACACTCTCCTTCCGTTCGTCTCCGATTTCCACCCCACCCTCTCCCAACACCTGACCTGTACCGTGCAATTCCCGGTGCTGCCTGGACACGGAAAGCAAAATCAGCTTAGAGAAGCACTTGGCAAGACTGCAAGAATGGGTTGCACGTTCCCTCATGCAAACCCTTGGCTCATTTGGTATTTACTGAGCGCACAGGCGTGTACTCTTTTTGAGGCCTGCAGATGAGGTTCATAAACTACCGCAGCTGAGAGCTTGGCGGTCTAGTGGAGGAGGAATACGGAGAACCAACCAGTCTGGTGTGATGCTATGTGGTTAAGTGACATATAGAAAACACCCTGAGCGCAGAGAAAAAACATCTGGTTGGGCATGAGGTCAGCTTCACGAAGTTGACACTGGAAAGCGATTAAGGTGCAGCAGAGGTAACTGCATAAGCAAAGGTTCAGAGGCATATTCTCAGCATGCAACCCTGCTACAAAGCAGAAAGGGACCATTTCTTATCCTCCAGCAGCCACCACCACAGGTAAACCTCAAAGATAGTACAGAATGCAAGTTACTTAGGAGTATGTCAGAATTCTGACTTGAAGAAAGCATAGGGTCATTGAAGGTGACACAGGATATGAGTATAAAAAAACCTCATATAGGCCCTCCCTGGTGGCGCAGCGGGTTAAGGCACTGCACTGAGAAACTAAAGCCATTTCCGCATGAGTTCGATCCCCCGCCTGCCCCGGAGGTGACCACATGGCGTGGCAGACCTCTCCTGACCCGCCCGCTGCTCCCCTCAGCAGTGTACTTCGATGATCTGCCTGTTCTGCTTCCCGCTCTGTCTCTGGTGAATCCTTTCACCCTCCGCATCTCTGGCCTTTACCACAATTCTGTATGAATAAATAAATAAATCTTTAAAAAAAAAAAACAAAACCTCATATAAGCAAATATGGAAGAGTTTGACCTTTGCTCTGTAGATCTGACTCTCTCACCCTGGAAGCCATGGCCTTTAGTTGGGATAAGTGTAGCGGAACATACAGAAACCATATGTTTACTACAGAGACTGCATTGCCTTTATCCAAAGACAAGTGATGCAATTTACCTGCTTTTCCAGCTGCATGGACTGAAAGAGCTGAGGAAACTGAGGCCCAGAGAGTCAAAGATGCTGATCCAAAGTCCACAGTGAGGCTCAAAGCCTCCCGGTCCAACGCTTTTTCTAGACTACATACTGCAGATACTTAAAATGAGGGGCCTGAGATCTTTCACTGAGATGATTTCAACAAAAGCATGAGGTCAAGGTGCCTTCCAACTTTCCTTCAGTGGTAAAAGTGAAACCCCCATGTTTTCATGGCATGGGAGGAACCACAAGCAGAGGGTGTGTACCAATTCCTGTAAAAGGGTCTGTATCCTGCTTCCTCATCAAGTACATGTTGAAGCTAGTAAGGCTTCATGCGCCATTCTGAATACACACTCATGTGTGGGCAAAAACTTCCAAAGAGCCTCCAATTGACACGAGTTAAAACCATAAAAATAGACTGGCAAGCACCCAGAGCCCCAAAGAATAAAGAATTAAAAAATGAGACAAGTATCTTAAAAAAAACAAAGTTACAGCGGAGTCCTCTTCGCAATTAGTAGAACAGGCTTTTCCAAGCTGCAAATGTCAGCAGAAGCTCAAACCTCCAGCCCTCTCCTAAATCAGCTGCAATGAGACCAGTCTACTATTCCGGCAGGTCCCGATGTGCCCAAGTACACCTGCAGTCACAGACATTTCTGGCTTTATTCCAACAAAGGTGTGAGCCCCCAGAGATCTGAGTTATGTGAAATTTCTGCTTATTAGAGAACACTTGGCAGTTGATTCCTTAGAGCCTGAGCATTTAATGTAACACTCTACATGCATAATTGCGCAGAGGATGAGCACTTGAGGACACCTTTCTTTGCAAAGGTGCTAACCCTGGTCATTTTTTCCAGAAAGTATGAGCTCTTTTGGTCAATGGAGTTGGAGGAAGTCATAGGTCTTCCAACTAAGTAGAAAATGAAGGCATGTAGATAAGTTATTAAAATATGTAACAAAATACTTAATCCTGGGAGGAGATGGTAATGGAGATTGATATTTAGAATGCTTGGGGCACTTTATGTAAAATTGTTTAAGAAATATACTCCTAAACTGTTGGGTCATTTTTGCAATCTTTAAATTAAATTAAATCAGGGCCCCTCCCTGGTGGCTCAACGGGTTGGGTTAAGGCATTGCACTAAGAAGCTTAAGCCCATTCCGCATGAGTTCGATCCCCGCCTGCCCCGGAAGAACTCCACATGGCGAGGCAGACCTCTCCTGATCCGCCTGCTGCTCCCCTCAGCAGTGGACTTCCTCGATCTGCCTGTTCTGCTCCCCACTCTGTCTCTGGTGAATCCTCTCACCCTCTGCATCTCTGGCCTGTGCCCTAGTTCTGTATGAATAAATAAATCTTTTTTAAAAAATAAATTAATTAAATCAGAAACTGAATTAATTTTCAACCTCCATTCATTACATTCAGACCTGCCAAACTTCTCCTGTCTCTTGTTTCCCACTGCTGTCTTGTGCATTCCCACCAGAGTCCTTCCTTCCAAACACTTCCTGCCACTTTCTACAACTTGCCCACCTAGCAAGATCTCATACCTGTTTTCTCTGACTGTCCAATATATTGGAGTTTTTCTTTTGAACAATTTTATCTTAGGCCTGGCTGGTTTATCCATATAAATTATAAAATACAGGAGAGTGGGGACCACCCATTGACTGCTTTTTATTTTCCACTCTTGTAAAAATAATGCCTGGCACAGAAAGAACTCATTAAAGATGTGATTGATTGAAATTCAGTGCCTCCTGTGCTACAGCACCGTCATTTCAGATAATCTTTCTCAAGGTTATTGGTTCCTTGCAGAGTGAAAATTGCCATCTAGGAAATCTCAAGTAGTCAGTGGAAATCTACTTCCTATGGATAATGAAATCTGAAATAAAGAGTCCACATCTGTTTCCACGGGTTCTTAGGGACAGTGAGACAAAGCTTAGAAAAATTTTTTAACAGACATGTTATTTTATCTACCTCTGAGAAAGGAAATGGCTGAGATAATTCCTAATAACCTTTCATTCCTTTGACCGAACATTCTCTTCTGCTGAAGCTATTATTTTACTATTTGTCAGAGGAAGGTAGGATCATTGCTACTTCAAATTGAGGAGGTTAGACCTTGAAATCTGTAGACTGAGGCTTATGAGAATAGTTGGCTGGGCAAGTGGGAGAAAAGGAGGCAAGGGGCACAGTGGACGATGGTAGGGAATTATTGGGGCTTTGGTGGTGGAAGTGACATGAGAACTTACATTTACAGAAGTGGGAACCTATAGCCCTAGAACATAGTATTATAAACCATTACCTCAGTAAACATAATTTTAAAAAGATAAATAAATGTTAGGTGAAATAAAAAATCAAATGTGGTTGGATTAGTTCTCAGTTCCATCATTTTCTTCAATTGTATGTCTTAGGCTTTCTTGAGTTTCTGCTCTCTCAAAACCCAATGGTCTTTCTTTCTTCTTATTCCTTTTTTTTTTTTAAGATTTATTTACTTATGCATACAAAACTGGGGTACAGGCCAGAGGTACAGGGGCGGTGATTCACCAGAGATAGAGTGGGGAGCAGAACAGGCTGACTGATGAAGTACATTGCTGAGGGGAGGGAGAGGTCTGCTGCACCATATGGGTCACCTCTGGGGCGGGGATCAAGCTCATGCTGAAGTGGCTATAGCTTCTTAGTGCTGTGCTTTAACCTGCTGCTCCACCAGGGAGGGCCCTCTTATTATCCCTTTTAGTAGCTGTTTGCTATAGCATGGTAATTAAGAGAACAAAGTTCAAATCATGGTTGGGCCATTTAATAGCTGTATGACAATGGTCATGGGACTGAAGTCATGGGCCTTCAGAAAATTCTACCTTCTACATGTAAGTGTGGTCATAAGGGCTGACTCAAATGATATACGCAAAACACCCTAGCTGCCTCACTAAGAATTCCATAAAAAGGCCCTCCCTGGTGTAGCAGGTTAAAGCGCAGCACTGCAAGCTAGCCGCAGCCATTTCAGTACAAGTTCAATCCCTGGACCCGGAGGTGACCACATGGCACAGCAAACTTCTCCTACCCTGCCAGCTGCTCTGTACCCTGACCAGTGTACTTTGTCAGTCTGCCTGTTTCTGCTCTCCACTCTGTCTCTGGTGAATCCTCTTACCGCCCCTGCACGTCTGACCTGTACCCCAGTTCTGTATACATAAATAAATAAATCTTTAAAAAGAAAAGAATTCCATAAAAAGTACCTGCTGCTGTTATTATTACCTGTTGACCTTCAGCAGCAACAATAAAACCTTTAGTAGCAGCTCTGCTGCTGAGAACCTATATTGTATCTAGGAATGCATCTGCCACAATGCCATTTGATTCCAGGCTTTAAAAGGGCAAATGGCCAAATTAATTTCGGTGACAAACAGAATTTTGTATAAAGCTACGCTTTGGCTGAAAGGGAGTACATATTGCCAAGAGTCTGTCAAAGGAAAGAATTAGTGGATCTGGGGCTGGTTCCAAGGTTTGAGTGTTGTGTAATTTCATAAGGAAGGAGGGCCCCAGGCAAAACTGCAGCCCTTAGCAAGCCTGAAGGTCACTATCACAAAGGCAGCCTGAATCCAGAGAGAAAAGAAAAAGCCAGCGCTGCTCAATTACAACTAAGGAGGAGGCCAATCGGAGAAATAAGTTTGCAAGATAACCAACATCCAACTTTGAAAAATTAACCATGCAAAACTCTGCCCAGTTAGGAGACAGTGCAATCAGTTGTCTTTTTCAATGGACAAGACCACTTTGCCGCTGGGAGAAGTATCCTAAAATATA